TGAATTTTTACAGTTTTTGCACTTTTTTTACTATAAACATTTTATAATCTAGTAATTAAACATTTTAAGTTACAAAGAAAATTCAGCAAATTAGGTAATGATGAAGAAAAATTACATTTGTAAATATAATATTTACCCAAAATCTCTCTATCCGTGGATTGGCTGGATTAATCGTCAAGTTTACGTCACACAAGGAAAGCTCCAGAGCAATCTAGAACTCCAGAAGTCTCGCGATAAATTCGTTGACTTGCGGTGAACTCCGGCTTAACACATTACATGTAGCACAAACCGGTGTACAGCAACTTAGTCAATGGACATTCGAGAGCCAAGAAGAGTTTCATAAATAACAACCTCAACAACACTCCTCTGCGACTGTTATATTTATTTTAAAGGCTTCTTGTTTCTAGCGCTGAGAGTTTTATCCGGGCTGTGATCAGCAGTGAAGATGTCAGTGGTGGGGTTTGATGTGGGTTTCCAGAGCTGTTATGTTGCTGTGGCTCGGGCCGGTGGGATTGAAACCGTAGCAAACGAATACAGCGACAGATGTACACCGTAAGTCTATTAATGTCATTCATATTACCTTGTTTTAACGTGTTAATAACGGTTCGGTGTGCTAGCCACCGCTTCGGAGGCTGCATGTGCTTCTCTATGTCGAGAAAATACCCTGTCACAATCAACGGCAGTGTAACTATAATATGAATAAAATATTTAAATGTTAATTAAATATAAAAATTGTTTTCTTTCTTTGTGTGTCATTTAATTTGATTAAAATAATACTGTGAAATCAGTTGTACGCGAGCTCTTTGTCACGTTGACTTTCTGTGAGATTAAATTATTTTAATTATTTTCATTTGAGGCTTGGGTATTATGATGGATATGTCGTTTAGATTACGTGTTTATGAATTATTTGTTTTTTTTTTGTGGTTAATGAGAGCACACTGCTGTCTGTTAGCTGAATGCTAAAGCGTGGCTTCTGCTGTAATGTGATGTGTGACGTCACACCGGCATCGGAGGAACATTCTAGCAAATTTAAGGCCGCTCGATAGGAATCCCCTTAAAGGGATGTGTTCACCCACAGTTTTATGTTTACTCGCTTTTTATTCGTCTCGAGTGGTTCCAAAACTTTATGAGTTTCTTTATTTTTGTTAAACACCAGATAGGTTATTTTTAAGAATGTCAGAAACCGGTAACCATTGACTTTTATTGGAGGAAAAACTATGGAAGTCAATGGTTACCGGTTTCTGCCATTCCTCAAAATAACTTGTATTGTGTTAAACAGAAAAAAAAACTTGGGAATAATATATAAATGATGACAGAATTTTTACTTTTGGGTGAACTATCCGTTTAACTCAAAATACATTAAAACTAATCTGTTTATTATGTACATTTCTAAAAAAAAAAAAAAGGTCTCATTGTGTTAAATATATCACTTGAAAATTAGGTTATGTCTATTGTGTATTTTAAGATATTGTCAATTAATGCAGCACCAAGGATGTGATGAAGAATAAAGTTTCAAGATAATATAACATTTATTGGTTTAAATATGTAGCTGATATTCTGGTGAAGCTAATTTTTATTCTACTTTTGTAAATATAATTTTCCTGCAAAATTATCTATCTATCTATCTATCTATCTATCTATCTATCTATCTATCTATCTATCTATCTATCTATCTGTATAAATATATTGCGATAAACAGTATTATTGTCATTTTAAGACCATTTCATGCCACTCATTATATAATACCAGAATGACAAAATAATATCACAATGCAAGTACACTCTTCCAAATGCACATCATATTTTACTCAAAAAAATATTTAATTTTAGTCAGAGTAGAATAAAAGAGTAACGGAGGCAATGATATCTGCTACTAGATCTTTATTCAGTTGTCAGACACCCACATAAAAAATACTATAGTAATTTATAGTAAATACTACAGTGTTAATTATTAACCATACAGACACTGACAGCGCCAATAGAGATGTTGCGCAATCAGCTGAAATGTTGCTCGCATTGGCTTTTATGTATGTATGGCCGGCCAATTTATATTGCATCACCGAAAATGATTAAGGTCTTGTTTATTTGTTATGCGATGAGCCCATTTATTTATTATTGTTATGATGATGTGCTTTTCTTTCAGGTCATTTGTATCATTCGGTCCTCGTAATCGGTCGATCGGGGCAGCTGCTAAAAGCCAGGTAAGCACTTAAATATTCTTAATAAGCAGCATGAAGGTTCACTGATGATCAGAAGGTGTAATGATCATTTCTGTTCTCAGGTGGTCACAAACTGCAAGAACACTGTTCAGGGTTTTAAGCGATTCCATGGCAGGGCGTTCAGCGACCCGTATGTGGAAACCACACAGTCCAGTCTGGTCTATGATCTTGCACAGATGCCTAATGGAACCACCGGCATTAAGGTAAGACTCATATAAATCCACGTTTAATTAGGGACGCACAGATTATAATTATTCTTTATTATTAGCCAATACTGATTTTAGCAAAAAACATTTGACCGATACCGATATTGGTCAATTGCATAGACCAGGGGTCACCAATCTCGGTCCAGGAGGGCCGGTGTCCCTGCAGGGTTTAGCTCCAACTTGCCTGAACACACCTGTCTGGGTGTCTCGAGTATACCTAGTAAGACATTGGTTAGCTTGTTCAGGTGTGTTTGATTAGGGTTGGAGCTAAAATCTGCAGGACACCGGCCCTCCAGGAACAAGTTTGGTGACCCCTGGCATAGACAGTACCAGCTAGTTATTTTTCTACATTAAATTAATTTTACTTTTACATTTAGTTATTTAGCAGATGAAAGTTTCTACAGGTGGTTTGTCAAGCCCACTCACCTGTGTGAGGTACACTCAGAATTGAAAGTCTTTTGGGTTGGTGTGTGATGAGGGGGGGGGGGGGGGGGGGGAGAGAGAAGAATCTTGGTGTTATATATCGGGGGTTCAGGTGCTCTCGCAAAATAAGTATTTTAAAGAAGAATGTCACCTATTGCGATTTCATATTTTATATTGTGCAGTTAAACTTTAGCTGAGTATTCTCAATAGAGTGAAGGACACTTTAAATGAAAGAAATACAACATAATTTAACAGTGTATATAAAAATATATATTAATCGTCTACATAAATATGCAATTACACAACAGCTATTTAAAGTGTTACATGATTTACAGTGCGACTCAATCACAGTTCTAATGAGATTGAAAATTTGAAACCAATGTTAAACTGTCAGAAAACGTACAGATGACATTTCATTTTTTTAATTGCAAGCATTTAATGATTTTGCTCTGATAATTCAAAAGATTTGCAATGAGTTGCAAATCTTTTGAATTATATTATATATATTATATTATATATAATATTTACATATATATATATATATATATATATATATATATATATATACACACACACACACACACACACACACACATATATTAATTTTCTTATATATGAGCAATATCACACAAGAGGCAATGCGATACGGCTGTATATTGGCATTAATGGGAGTCGTGCATTGGCTCGAGGCTGCAGGCCGAGTGTCTTAGTGCCCACCAATGATGATATACAGCCATATGGCACTGCTACTCTTGTAATATTGCATTTATACAACAGTTCGACCGCATAATTGTGTATATAAAAAAAGAAATTGAAACACAGAGAGTGTCATGAACGCCTTTGTATGAGGAACTACTTTCTTCCACTGCACCTTACGTCAGAACTGCAGAAATCCTTTCTAATTCACCAATGTCACTTTAGAGCTAGTGTTAAAATGATTCCCTATAGTGCAAGTGATGTGAAAACAGCAGATTTTGCTCACATTTTCAGATTATAAGGCTGAACGGCATGAAATGCCATCAGTCTATGGAGATATCACAATATTTCTCTGTTGCAATCTGGAGATCACAATAATTAATGCCGAAAGAGCCAAAGCAAACACTAACAGATTACTATGGTATAAATACAGCACTACAAAATACAAAAGAGAGAGATCGACTTACAGTGTCGCTTACCTGTTCTGTAATGATTTGTTCAGCTGTAGTTTGAAACTTGCACTGAAAAAATGCAGTTTTTCTCCCCCAAGGTCTTATGCGGTCTCTGTCGGCATCTTGTCAACCGTCTTTGCTCTGCTCAGTATGACAGGCTGATGGCTGCCAAAATGCTGAATCTCCAAAATTATAATTATTAAAAGTAGGCACTATCCATGTAAATAAACTGCATCGATGCAATCCTAACAACTACATTCGCCTAAAAACACCTCAAAAGTACATTATGTTGTCCATCAGCTGCAATATTTGTCAAATTGTAGTCCTCTGCTTGCCACTCATGAGGGTGAAGTAATACACTAGGGTGAAGAATGCTGATATTACTTTATCTCATGGCTATCAGCCAATTAGATTCGAGAACCAGACAGCACTGTTGTATAAATATATCAGTGCATTCCCCCTCTTAATGTCACTATGTATTAAGAAAATGGTGAAACGTGTGTTTTCAAAGCAGCTCTATGATTTTGTTAGTCACTGTGCATTGTGCTGTCCGTCCCACAGGTCATGTATATGGAGGAAGAGAAGCTGTTTGGCATCGAGCAGGTCACTGCAATGCTGCTGACCAAACTGAAGGAGACCGCAGAATCTGCACTCAAAAAGCCTGTGGCGGACTGTGTCATCTCTGTAAGCTCATTCTCTAAACGTATCTAAAATATATCTGTCTGTTTGTATTTTGAAAGCCAGTTTAAATCATTATCTAATATTTCAAATCAGTCTCAAACTATTCATTTTCTAATCTGACTAGCAAAATAGATTATTCATGCTATCAGTTTGCTGTTAGAAACATGTTAGCAACATGTTAATCTGTTAAAACAAGCACACCAACACCATGCTAATCCATTTAATGTTTATTCAAAACATTTTAAGTGAAGTAACATTTTAGCAACATAAAACATGGTAACGACCAAAGACGGTGATAGCTACATTTTAAAACCTGAAAAATGTTTTAAAATATGCTAACAATATGTGGTGACGTGTTGCATTTTAAGGTGAGGTAAACATTTTAGCATCATAAAACACTAACAGTAAAAGATGGCAATGTGTTAAAACATGTTACCTATTAAACCTGGTTAAAGACATGTTTAAATGCTAGGGTTATAGCATTACAGTTATAGCAACATAAAACATGCTAACAGCATGCTATCAATGCTCTAAAATAAGCTAGTGATGTGATAAAATGTTTCGCTGTTAACCTGAAACATCTTAGCAACATGCTAATAGCATGCTGTTAAGTGAAGTTTCTCAAACTAATTTCGAGAGGAGCACGTGATGGGATTGACTACAGCTGATCCCTATCACTAATCACTAACTAGCCAATCGGATCACTCTAAATTCAAAATAAATATCCAGCCTAAACTTCATTCCTCATCTTCGTTTTGGAAACCCCCCCATCCATCCCTTCTCCCTCCTCCTCAGTTTGGGCGACACGGTGGCTCGGTTGCTAGCACTGTTGCCCCACAGCAAGGAGGTCATTGGTTCAACACTAGCTGAGCCAACCGATACTCTCTGTGCGGAGTTTGCATGTTCACCCCGTGTTCGCGTGGGTTTTCCCCGGGTACTCTGGTTTCCTCCCACACTCAAAAACTACGCAACAAAAGTTAAAGTCACAAGCACTTACTACAAACTAGCACAACTAGTGATCTATTTTGGAAAGCTATCGAGAACTACCTGATCTCATATCCCTCCAAATGCTTATTGACCAGGCGGGAGCCTTGGGCTCATCTATCACCGAGCTCAGGGTTCTCACCCGGGACAGCATGCCAAACTAGCTTAAATAGTCAAGCATTATCTAAGTGTGAACTCTTGAAATAAATGTTTAAACATGATGGAAACAATTTAACATCATGAAATACAATAGCAACGTGCAACAACACTTTAATAAAATGCTAGGAATGTGTTGTTAGAAATTTTAATTTATGCTAACATAGCGTTAAAGCATCATATCTGCCATGTGTTAAAACATCTGGCTACATTTTAAAGCCTGAAAGATGTATTAAAATATATGCTAGCAACATGTGGTGATGTGTTAAAACATTTTATCCTATTAAAACCTGTTCGAAACACCTTAAATTGCTACAAAATTGTAAAAAAAACAAAACATAAAACATGCTAATAACATGGCATCAACACTCTAAAATAAGCTAGTGATGTGATAAAACGTGTTACTCTGTACAAGCTAACACCACAAAAAACCTTTAAGCAACACAAAGTACATTAACAACATGCCACATTGTGTTTTACGAAATATGTTATTAACAATTTAATTCATGCTAACCTAGCAGCAAATCATCTGTTTCATGAAATCTAACAATTATAAAACATTTAGAAAAATGATAACAACATGTTTTGAAACATGCTAGCATTGTCTTAAAACATCTCGGCAACATTTTAAAACCTGATAACAATGTGTGATGAAATGATGCTAAATCTTTAGCATCTACAATGTAAGTAACAAGCTAACGACATGAAAGTCCTGTTAACAGCATGCTATCAGTGCTCCAAAGTGTGCTGTTTTCTTCACAACACTCGTTTCTAGTTCAATTCACGAGAACTGCAGATTTAGTTTTTGTGCTCTCAGTGTCAAAACTACACAAATTAAACGCATCCATCAGTATCGAGGAAATTCTTATCATACACGAAATACTTCTACTGAAGTGTCAGTCACAACACAGCAATCAGGAAATGATCCAGAAAAAAATTCCTCTAATGTTACTTGTGATTTGAGTTTGAGTGTTTATTTTCTCTTTTCCTTTTAGCTCTGATTTGTTGTCTTTCATTATTATACTAGTTAGGGCTGCACAATATGTCATTTTAGCATTGATATCATAATGTGATCATTCACAATTGTCACATCCCAGGATATGCAATATTGAGTCAGGATTATAGTTGGCATGTGTTTATATATCATATCATAAACACCATATCATATCATATCATATCATAAACAATATCATAATATATATATATATATATATATATATATATATATATATATATATATATATATATATATATATATATATATATATATATATATGCATGTAATATAATTTGCATGTAATATAATTTGCATGTGTTTTGACACCTGTGATTGTATAATGATTTTAAAAGCACTCAGGCATAAAAAATAACAATTTCTTACTTTAATAATGATGGAATTGATAGCATTATTATTATTTTTTAATTACTGAATGCTGTTAGATTTATATACATTTTTAAATATATTTCTTTTATAAATTATTTCCAAATAGAGCTGTTTAAGTGGTGAAAATGTATTCATATAGCGATATATAGTGGGGGAAATATGTCATCAACACGTCACTATTTTTCATGTTTCTAAAGGTGCTTTTGACCTGTAATTTCCACCAGATGTTGGTAACAACCAATTAAATCCATAAATGAAAATAAAACAATATTAATTAGTTTACAAATAAAATTATGTGTAATAAAATAAAATAAACACACGAAAAAAGTATTGAACACATGAAGAATGAGAGATGAAAGCCCAGACAGCAGCTGTAACCTCTCAGTAGTTCTTAAGCATCGCTCTGCCATCAGCTGCTTCAGTTCAACATCTACATTAGCAGGAAGATGAAGATGAAACCAGGGTGGACATTTCAGCAAGACAATGATCCAAAACACAGCAAAGGAAACTCTCAGATGCTTTCAGAGAAAGAAGATCAAGCTGTAGAATGGCCCAGCCAATCACCTGATCCGAATCCAATAGAGAATACAAAATAAAGCTCAGATATGATTGACGAGATCCACAGAACCATCAAGATTTAATACACTGTTGAAGTCTGTGAGAAGCTCACACCTGAGCAATGCGTGTGACTTCATTCTCCATATTAGAGCTGCCGACACCAATAAAACTTATATATATATAAAGTATTAAATAGGGTTCAGTAGTTCAGAACTTTCTACTTCTTTTTTTTCATTGTTATTACACATTTATACACGTTTTTTCTGGAAAAAAACATGACATGTTGAATACCACTGTGTATCGCAGAATAACAGAATATCGCAATGTTAGATAGCAGCCCTAATGCTAATTTTTAATGTCTAGCTGTTGTAGTTAATATGTAATAAATGTGAATAATCAGTTTTGTTCTTGTCCCACAGGTTCCCAGCTATTTTACAGATGCCGAGAGAAGATCAGTGATGGATGCTGCACAGATCGCAGGCCTCAACTGTCTCAGACTCATGAATGACACTACAGCAGGTACAAACAACAACACTAGTTATAATAAACTCAACAACAGCAACAAACGACTATCATGTCATATGCCTTTATAATGGATCATACTGTATAAGGGGAGGGGGGCACAGAACATATTTTTTCCTTTTCAATGTGCTACGTTTCTATTGTGTTTCAATGTAAACACATTTTATTGTCCTCAGTCTTGTACAACTGAAGATGCAGAGAAAATGAGTAAAAAATCCTATTTATTGTTTTACTATAAAATGTTACTTTTTTTATTAATCGTCTCTTTAAATATATCCATCTACAAAGAAGCGATTAATATTGGTATGATGCTTATTATATGAACTGTCAGGATGGGGGTAAATCAAAAATTACAATTGTTTTGCGTTTCTATGGAGAGCCCAGTGTGGCTGCCGTTGCGTCCCTTTTTTTTTTTTTGCTCTCTTGCTCTTGGCGCCGATCACATGACTGAAAACTATCAATGGAAGTGAATGAGACCAATAGGCACAATTCCGTTACATAGGCCTGCTCTTATGTGGGAAAAAAAGCTCAGTTTCTATTATGTAATATGTACTTAAATATTTATCTTGCCATGAAATAAATAAATAAACAAACTAAAGCTGCACAATAATGGACAAAATATGCAATATTCCAGTTCAGTATTGCTATAATCGTATTTCTTGCGATATTTATTACGTTTCGATAGAGGTTAAGCTATTTTCATTTCATTCAGCCTCTTTACTTTCTCTTTACTTTACTTCACTTCTACTCTTTACTTTACTCCTTTACTTTCATGGAGTAAGGAAACGGTGGAATCTCGCTCCAATAAAGACATCCATTAGCTTGCATGTTTGATTTAGTTTGTTTAGCACAAAAATTTCCATAAAAACTATTTTTAAATTTAGTTCTAATGTCCAGCAAATTAATAAATGAACAATAATAATGAAGTGTGCTCAAACAACTGAGTTATATCCAAACACATATGGTGATGCAGATGTCTCCAAAACCCCATAGGTGGACAAATCTAAACTTGTTTTTATTAAAACTAATATAAATATGCATATAATTAATAATCCTGCTAATAATAATATTATACAAATACAAATTGTCATGAATGAACTGAAAAAGCCCCCGAGGTGAGGCATGGACCCAGTGGTGTTTATATTTATGTAGAAAATAATAATTTTTGTAACATTTTAATCCTTCAATTGTTTTCATATGTAAGGATATTTGTGTGTATTATGTTATGTGTAAGCGTTTGGACCTGCATAGGCTCAAACTAACACACTCTAAACTTGACTTTAGAGCAGCTTTTAGTTGGTCAATGATGCGGTCTATTTCAGTTCCTCAAAACAGCAACACACCAACAATGCGCCTTAACACACCTCCTTTATAGACCAGCACACTCAAGAGTCCACAAAGTGGCGCAAATGGATTTACTATTTAAACAATGTAGCACGAAACGTGAAAAATTAGGGTTGCGCTGATCTGAAAATGGCAACAAACCACAGCAAACTTGTCTTGCCGTGATTTGTTGCCATTTTCAGATCAGCGCAACAATAATTTTTACATTTTGCGATACGTTGTTTAAATAGTTGTATGATAAGGCCCTTATGGACATTTTCCTCTCATTTCTCGACTCCCGTCATTATTATATATTTCAGCTCCAGGTTCACCTTCTAGCCAATAGCAGAACAGCAACTACTGGGTTGAATTTTAATTTCTGTGGATCCCTAATAAA